GTTGCTCTTCTCTGCACTCTTTCTAGAGTCTCCACATCTCTTCTACATCATGGCTACCAAAACTGGATGCAGTATTCCAAGTGTAGCCTTCCCAAGGCCTTATAAAGTGGTATTAACACTTCTTATGTGTGTCTGTCTGTCTGTCAGTTTATGCAGCCTTTGACCAAAACTGCAGCATTTCACATTCTGTTGTGAAAATAAGTTTTATTTCTTTAACCTTTCCAGTTGAATAAATAGCATTCTTTTCTAAATCTGGGCAAATGGTAGTCATAGCAATAATAGCACAGAGTGAAAATATAAATGGATTTGTAGCTCAGGCCTTATAGCCCGGCTTGCTATTCTAAGCAATTGAGGGCCAGGAGCTGAGATAAGGGAGAATTTGTCCCGGTTTCAAATTTTTGTACAAAAATATATTCAATTGACATCTGTCCAGCGTGGTTCCTTAACTATCTTAAGCCACCTGCCTCCTGAAAATCATTTGAAAGTCACTGGTTGACATTCACTGTTCTTTTTCAATAGCTATTCAAGGAAATATATTCAACAAAAATGCATGCTTTAAAGGAAGTGTGCAGAACTTCTGTATGATATTATGGCAATTTGTTGGCCCAAATGTGTCATTATTATTTTTTTTAAAATGGAATTCTTTGGGCGAAACACGTTCAAACAAGCATGCATATTTTCTGCGGGCCATAAATGGAGGCTTGGCGGATGGCAGATTCTCCATTATCTGGAGAATAAGATTTGCAAAGCAGAAAAAAAGTGTGAGAATATTAGGAATGTGCAGTTTTTCAAAATTCCGTTTTTCGTGCGTGTTTGTATATTTGCATGTATGTGTTTATGTATGAAATAAATGTGTATTCACGCCCAATTCACACATAGGTGACTGCTGGCATCTTACGACATTAAAAAATTTTTTAAAAAAATCCATGCCAACGTTTGCAGGGAGACAAAAAATAATGCAAGGATGTCTGTCATTCCAGGAAGTGCTGGGATAAATGAAGAAGTAGAGCTGGATGTGGGAACCAGATTTTGTTCTTCTCTATTCCTCCTCCAAAGGAAGATTCTTCCTTCTCTTTCCTCCTTCTCTCTCCCTCCTTCCTTCTTCTCTTTCCCCTTTCTTTTCCTTCCTCCTCGCACCTTCCTCCCCTCTCTCCTTTCTTCTTTCCTTTTCTTCCTTTCCTTTTTTTTCCTCCTATTTTTCTCCCTTTCCTTTCTTTTATTTTCCTTTCCTCTACTTCTCACTTCTTTTCCTTTATTAACCCTCTCTCCTTCTCTTTCCTCTACTTCTCCCTTCTCTTTTTTCCCCCGTCCCTTTCCTTTGCCTTCCCTTCCCTTCCTTTCCTTCTTTCCTCTACTTCTCTCTTCTCTTTCTTTCCTCCCCTTCTCTTCCCTTCCCTTCCCTTTCCTTTACCTTCCCTTCTTTTCCTTTCATTTCCTTCTTTCCTCTACTTCTCCCTTCTCTTTCCTTCCTTCCCCTTTCCTTTCCTTTGCCTTCCCTTCCCTTCCTTTCCTTCTTTCCTCTACTTCTCCCTTCTCTTTCTTTCCTCCCCCTTCTCTTCCCTTCCCTTTCCTTTACCTTCCCTTCCTTTCCTTTCATTTCCTTCTTTCCTCTACGTCTCCCTTCTCTTTCCTTCCTTCCCCTTTCCTTTCCTTTTCTTTACCTTCCCTTCCTTGCCTTTCTTTCCTCTACGTCTCCCTTCTCTTTCTTTCTTTCCCCTTCCCTTTCCTTTGCCTTCCCTTCCTTTCCTTTCCTTCTTTCCTTCTTTCCTCTACTTCTCCCTTCTCTTTCCTGTCTCTTCCTTCCCTTCCCTTCCCTTTTCTTCTTTCCTCTACTTCTCCCTTCTCTTTTCTTCCTCCCCTCTCTTCTTCCCTTCTCTTCCCTCTCCTCCTCCTCTCCTCCCTTCTTTCCTTCTCTCTCCTTTCTTTCTTCTTCTTCTTCCTTCCTTCCTACCTTTCCTCCTCCTCCTTTTTCCTTCCTGCCCCCCTCCCCCCCCCCAATATCTTCAGAGTCAGGTACCTGACAAGAAACTGGAGGGGCTCAGCTCGGGGTTCAGCTTGCGGAGACAGAAGGGGCTGTCAGGGCTGTCCGAAAGAGATCTGTGCAGGGTTTCACTCAGCAGCTCCGTGAGTCTCCTCCTTCGGCGGAAATTGATACGAAACTGGTAGAGGAGATCCCGGTCGTAAAAATGGCACTGAGCGGAGACTGTGGAAAGAAGGAGCAGCAAGATGGGGGGTGGGGGAAACACAGCAAGCATTCAATCCTCTTTAATCCAGCTGTGGACCATTGTTATTGTTATCCACTTATTTACATCCACTCCAGCAGACAGTTTACAAAAAATCCCAAAATGCAAATAAAGCAATTACTATAATTTTTTGGAGCCACACCTAGCTTTGGGGGAGGAAAACCAGGGGGAAAAAATTCTCTGCCTCCCAGAAATTCGCCTCCTTGCAGCAAATAGCAAACAGCCCCTTTCAATTTCAGCTTCAGCACAGTCTGACTAGCACAAACAGCTGATTGTCAGCTGGATCGACCTCCCGACCATCAGCTGTTTCAGGCTGCAGGGATTGCCATAGCCTGTTGCTGCCTCCGCGTCCCATTTTTGGCCTCTGCGTGCCCCACCTTTGACCTCCGTGCACCCCATTTCCCACACATTCCGATCCCTGCTGCCTGGAAGAGGCGGAAAATGGAGCACGCGGACGCTGGAAATGGGAGGCCAAAAATGAGGTGGTTTTATTGAGGTGGTTTCATTAGCAAACTAGGGAACTTCATTAGTGCAAACCCCATTCCCTACTAATGTAACCGATGATGTTACCGACTTGGGCAGTGAAACGCCTGCAAGAAAACCGCCAAGCTCAGAGAGCACCAAGGACCCCACAGTTACCCACATCTGGGTACTTGAGAGACCGCCTTCTGCCGATTACCTCCCACAGACCCATTCGATCCCACAGATTAGGCCTCCTCCGTATTCCATCTGCCGGCCAATGTCGGCTGGCGACTACTCGGAGGAGGGCCTTCTCTGTGGCTGCTCCGGCCCTTTGGAACGAGCTCCCCGTGGAGATTCGGACCCGCTCCACCCTTCGGGCCTTCCGGATGGCCGTGAAGACCTGGCTGTCCCAGCAAGCCTGGGGTTGAGTTCCCCCCGCTACTCGAATTTGCTGTGTCTGTTGTGCTTTTAAGTTGTTCGTATTGTCTGATTGTTTTTGTCTTACTTTTTGTAATTTCCCCTCCCTTGGCTTTTGTTCAGCCGCCCTGAGTCCCTTCGGGGAACAGGGCGGCCTACAAATTGAATAAACTCCAAACTCCAAACTCCAGTTCAGCTCTAAGCTTCAAATATTCTCTTCTGCCTCTTTTTCAGCCTCCTGTGCCAACATCTCAGGGGCATTTCCTTTGGCATGTACCTTGCTGGATGATCCCGTGTTCCAGGAGGGTTTGGCAGAGCTCCGTCGCTTCCTTCCGGTTGGCGACCTCCCCTTCCTCCACCAGCCAGTCAACCATCTCACACCCCAAAAAGCTCCTCTGGAATTTAACCAGGTTCTCTTCTCTGGCTTTGAGAATGGAGTTGTCCATGCCGATCAGCCTGCAATCAAGAGGCAAGAAGACCCCGAAACAAGGATATCGGCTGAGTTAAACCTACCGCGAATCCTATTCAGACATGCAGCAAACCCAAGTCACACTGGGCAGAAGTACTTATAGTCCTCGACTTACAACAGTTCATTTAGTGACCATTCAAAGGTACGACAGAACTGGGAGGAGGGGAAAAGTGACCCGGGAGCATTTTTCACCATTTCAGGCATCTCCATGGTTGCATGATCAAAATTCAGATGCTTGGCCACCGGTTCATATTTACGACCGCTGCAGTGTCCCGGGGTACGTGATTCCCCTTTTGCGACCTTCTGATCAGCAAAGTCTTATCAGGAAGTCAGATTCCCTTAACAACTACGCCAAGAAAGGTCGTAAAACGGGGTGACACTCACTTCGCCAATGTCTCACTTAACCACAGAAATGTTGGGCTCACTTTGCAGTCATAAGTTGAGGACTACTTGTACTTTAGAAGTCAGGTAAGGTAGGGTAACAGGGACATGGTGGCTCAGTGGCTAAGACGCTGAGCTTGTCGATCAGAAAGGTCGGCAATTCGCTGGTTCGAATCCCTAGCGCCGTGTAACAGAGCGAGCTCCCGTGACTTGTCCCAGCTTCTGCCAACCTAGCAGTTCGAAAGCACGTAAAAAATGCAAGTAGAAAATTAGGAACCACCTTTAGTGGGAAGGGAACAGCATTCTGTGTCCCTTCGGCATTTAGTCATGCCAGCCACATGACCAGGGAGATGTCTTCGGACAGCGCTGGCTCTTCCGTTTTGAAATGGAGATGTGCACTGCCCCCTAGAGTAGGGAACGACTAGCACATATGTGCCAGGGGAACATTTACCTTTATAACTTTGAACAGTCACTAAATGAGAACCACCTGTAATTCCAAGCAGCGTCAAATGAAAAAGGAGGTGGCAGAAATGAGATCATCTATAG